CAGGACTCGAACCTGGAACCTCCCCACTTTCCGGGCGGGACGCCTTTCCATTCGGCCACCGAGGCTTCGACAGTAATCTCGCAACACAATGTTTATAAACTCTCTAAGATGTAAGTTGAGAGAGAACCAAAGAGTCGATCTCGTAAGAGATGTTATTATATGAGAGAGAGATAGCATATTCTTCCTACCGATGCTTATGATAAACCGAAATAATAGAAAGCTCCTGAATAGGAGCTCCCACAATCATATTAATATTATTAAAAAATAATATTAGTATTTAATAGCACTAAGACATCCGTGCTTGCTCCTTATGTGCCGTTAATTTCTCACTATTAGTTAAATCTATTCAGGAGCTTTCTATTATTTCGGTTTATCATAAGCATCGGTAGGAAGAATATGCTATCTCTCTCTCGTATAATAACATCTCTTACGAGATCGACTCTTTGGTTCTCTCTCAACTTACATCTTAGAGAGCTTATAAACATTGTGTTGCGAGATTACTGTCGAAGCCTCGGTGGCCGAATGGAAAGGCGTCCCGCCCGGAAAGTGGGGAGGTTCCAAGTTCGAGTCCTGGCGGAGGTAGTTTTTTCGCAACATATATAATAAAAAGGAATCTATTTGAGTCTTCGGTTTAATGGGGGTTTTGGGATTTTAATTAAAATATATATTTAAATTCGGGACTCAAGGATCGGTCTAAGTATGGAAGGTGATTCTCCGCGTACGTTAGTCGAAGAGAAAATTTCGATACGTGCGTTTGACATACTGGACATTTTTATCCTCCCACAATCATATTAATATTATTAAAAAATAATATTAGTATTTAATAGCACTAAGACATCCGTGCTTGCTCCTTATGTGTCGTTAATTTCTCACTATTAGTTAAATCTATTCAGGAGCTTTCTATTATTTCGGTTTGTCAAACTTTTTGATGGTAAGGTTAGATTTTACCTAGCATCGCCAGTGTTGCCAAGTCGCAAAACTTACGGAGCAGCCCTCGTATTCTCATGATATTTGTGGAACATCAGAATACCAAATATATAAAGTATTATTAACACATAAGGATGCACAAATACAGTCGCGCGCACTCCCATATAACTTAATGTTTGATTATTTTGTTAAAATAATAAAAAAAAAATTGGTACATTATATTTTGCGGCGTTTCGATTATACGTGTTTCTGCGTGGTTTCAAATTCGAACTGCACCGGCCATCCCATTTCCTAGTCTAGGTCTTAGGTATTCATAGTCGAATCTTATTTCAAGACCGTCTTAAGTAATGTCTTAAGATGCGAATACGGCTTTGTGATTGGTTCATGACGTCTTAAGATAGGACTTAAGATAATCTTAAATATAAAATCGGACTATGAATATCCCGACTAGTCTTCGTTGTTATTGCTCAACTTTGGTGATCAGACAACTAATAATGATTCAAATGTCTCTGACGATACCCTCCTAACTTGTGCTTATATAATGTATATTTATGTGTTTACAAAACATTGTAATGTTATATTTATTGACAGATATTGAAAACGAAAACAATTAATATGCGATGGATATTAATACAATGTATATTAGCGAAATAGTGACGCGATTATTGCTCTTATATTTTTAACTTAACATTATTGTATATTTGAGAGTAAATGATAAGTTAGTTAGAAAAATACATGCAACAATTTATATATATATATATATATATATATATATATATATATATATATATAACAAGATATGTACTACATACTGAGACAAGATATGTAATACATACTCCACAATGCATTAACTTTAACTATTTTAGAAACCCAGAAGTAGCTGCACATATATCCTATAATTCTATGAAAAGTGTAATGGCTCGAGAACGATTTAAACAACGACCTCTCATACCTCATACCTTTCAATCTTTATGTACTGATCTTGGTCAATATGATTGGATAAGAGACTTTTATAAAGGATGTGTAGTAGCACAGGATGGTAGCATGGCTGCTATATTGTTAAGTGACTTTCTTATTAATTCCTTAAGGACAATTGAAGAACTCTATGGGACATTTCTGCAAGATACTTCATTAAAAAAAAAAATATTTCTTCTTTGATTTTGAAAGTATACATGTTAATATTTATAAATCTTAGTAATATTTTCTAGATAATGTCTTATTAACCTGGCAGCACAAGATTTCCTAAGGACATATCAGGGATGTTCTGAGGATGAAAAAACATCCCGAGGTCCTCTTCAGGAACGTTTCCTGGTCACCTGTGCTGTTAGGGTAGATAAAAGCAAAATTCTATTATCTATTATTTACAGGTTGTTCCCCGAAATCCACATATGATTCAATTATATACCATTCACATACGTTATAAAAATATGGTATGTATCTTATATAATTATTTTTTACTTGAAAATGTTTTCTATTGAGGTATTTTGGAAATTAGGAAGGTTCATACGTGTACGGCCCAGATAGAATCTTGCATAAACAAATTCCTAGTAAAGCTTGTTACCTACCTAACAAAGCTTGTTGCTACAAATTTTTGACAGCAGATAATTATAAATGAATTTATTTCAAGTTCTGTTATATTAAGTTATGTTTTCAATCTGCTTTCATTCTGTTTATTGCAATATCAAAACAAGTAGTTACGGCAAACAGTATAAGAAACGAACTCAAATAAATATTATTCAATATGGGGCCCGATTCTCGATGCCTACAAATGAGGTGCGCATGCTAAAATCCTATAGTTTGTATTATATAAACTATAGGATTTTTGCATGTGCTTATTTGTACGCGTCGAGAATCGAGCTCTAGCTGTTTCTTTTATTTTATACATATCTAAACCTTGCTTTTTTCTAAAAATATAACGCACTTAAGATTTTTTATATTACAGGGTATTGCTGTTGTCTTTGTGTTATGTGAGACTCGAACATTCGCTCAATATCAGGCTATATGGGAAAAATTAATTGAAATTGTACCAGATTTAAAAAATAATGTACAATTTATAGTAGGAGATTATGAACGCGCTACAAATAACTCCCTTCATAAATGTTTCCCCAAAGCCAGGTTGAAAGGGTGCTGGTTTCATTAAAATCAGGTAAATTAATTTAAGAATATTTTATTTATATGCTCATTCATACATGTGACAAATCATTATATTAAATTTGTAACTTTTTCTTTATTAAAATTTAAAAGCAGTATTGCGCAAATGGCGGCAACTTGGTTTAAAAAATGCTCCTAGGAAATTAATAACGATGGTTATGTCTGTACCATTAATATTTTCTTCTTTATTAATACCAGCTTCTTTATTTGAACAAGCTTTTACAGTACTACAACACATAGCTGATTCTATATTCAGTGATTATCCTATGGTATTACAATTTATTTCTTATTTACGTATTCAGTAATTATCCTATGATATTACAATTTATGTCTTATTTACGTAAGACATGGTTGCCTATAGCAAACAAAGTCTCTGTGTATGGCTGTCCTGTTCGCACTAATAATATAGTTGAAAGTTTCAATAACACGATATCAAGGAAATTTGGATGTAGACACCCAAATGTTTGGATATTTATTGGTTAGTGCTTTGTTTTATAATAATAGTGGCTAATATATATATATATATATATATATA